CCGCCTTTTGTTGCATCATTCTTTATGTTTTTTCAACATTGTCTAGTACTTTTTCTAACTAAACTTTTAACTTGGAAAATGTAGTAATTTTCAATTTGCCAATTGTTGCAAAAAGAAAAAAAAAGTAAAATACTAATGCCATCGTCACTGGCACAACTGCATTTACTTACTCCGCCACCAACACCACCACCACCATTGCCAAGTTTAAGTTGTTGTTTTTTATGGCACTTATACCATAAATCTACCGTTATTTATGCAACATACTATTTACAACAACAAAAATTGTCTAAAGTTTTTCTATATACATATATATTTTTTCTTTTTCGTTGGGTTCTTTGCAAATACTTATTCATGAGACAGACGGCTAAGAATGCTTTTCGTTTTATTTGCAAAAAGAAATAAAAATGAACTTTTTTCTTTAATGTTTGCAACTGCAGCAATATAAAGTATCTACATGCCGCATTATTACATCATTAGTTCTTGGCGTGTTTGTGTGTGCTGCTGTTTATACACATGATCCGTATGTGGGTAAAGACCATGATTTTTCATATGTGAAATTTTTCTACAAAAAAAAATAACAAAACAAGAATGTGGTTTCAGAAACTCTACAAAAATTGCGACAATTTGCTGTATTTGATGTTATTCTGATAGTTTTTTTGTTGGTTTTTGTTTTAGGTGTATTTGCATGTTTTTGCCACAGAACAGTGATTGATGATCATTAAAATTATAGTTCTTAAGTTGAATATACTTGTGGCCAGACTCGGTTAGTGTTTTATGTTTTTTTTTTGTTATTCATTTGGTTTTAGTTTTAATGTCATTTAAATATTGTTGGCAGTTTGCGTTGTTTGTCAAGCCTGGGTAGTTTTTTTTGTGTTTTTTCAAAAGTCCAAAATAATTTTTTCTACAACTCTAGCGGAAAATTATCATGTTGTGCTTCAAATCTAATCACTATAAACATTTATGTTTTTCGTCTAAATAATTTTTTTTTTTTAACAAATTATCAAGAATTTTAATAATTTCAACTGGTTATAACAGTATTATGCAACATTTTGTTACAATGAATTGAATATTTTTATGTAGTTGTGTTGGGTTCCAAGCAACAGCTTAGTAAGTTTGTGGCTTAAGTCTTTTGTTTTTATTATAGGTTTCTTTATTATTGTTTCTATTATTATTATTATTACTCATTATTTATTTAATGTCAAGTCTTCTACATTGTAGGAGATACATGTCAGTTTTAAAATGTTTGTTAAATGCTTATTTTCTTAGAAAATTCAAAATTTAATTGGAGGTTTTGTTATATTAAATATTCTATGACTAGTAAGTTAATGTTGCATGTAGATGAGGTAATTATTTATGTTTGGCATACACAAAAATTTTTTATAATCTAAAAGCTTTTTAAATTTATAGCAAAATTCTTGGCATTTTACTAATACTGAGCTAAAGGTGTTATTTATATATGTATAAAAACATATGTGTGTTTGTTTTTAAATTAGAAGTGGCTGAAGGGTGCCACGCCCACTTACAAATTGTAAAGCAGTCGATCTACAAAGACATATAAACTTAAGATTGTCCGAGTTATAGAAAAATATCTCGAATTTAAAAAGTATATAACTCAGGGGGTCAAATATCACAACTTGTAAAATATCGAGACTGCTCTGGCAGTCAACAGATAGGACTCTTTTTGTGACTTAGTATGAACTCAATTAGGCTTCTAACTGGTATAATTACTGGGCAGTGTATGATTGGACATATGTCGGAACGTATGCGCTACCCAAATTATAGCTACTGTAGAATCTGCTTAGACGAAGAAGAAGTGGAATCGGAACAACACGTTCTTTGTGACTGCCCAGCCTTACAAGAGCACAAACTACTCTATCGTGGTAGAGCTCTTTTCCATGATAACATGATCGGTTTTATTAAAAGCACGGACTGGTTTACACGGAGACCGAACAAACCAAGTAATCAACCAAACTAGGGAGGGCAACCATTCTCTCAAACAAACCAAGTAATCAACCAAACTAGGGAGGGCAACCATTTTCTCAATATTAGGGAATAGTAATTCTAAGAGTATCACAATAGGTCACAAGGCCTCCGAGTGAACTCGCTTGCTAGCGAGCAACCCACGTAACCTAACCTAACCTCAAAAGGATATTAACATTAAAGAGATCTTTCTTATCTGGATAATGAGGAGTATATTAGCAATTGGTAAGTAACAGTGTTGAAATCTAGAATAGTTTTAACAATATATAAGCAAGTGGAATGGTGCACACCACACTACAGCTTGATCTGAATTTGGCTAATTGTTGTTAACTCGATTAATAATGAACTGGACAATAAAGGAATAAAAGTTGTTGCTTAAGCGGAAGATATTGTAATACTATATAGTATCAGGAATATTTCCAGACGTAGTTATTGACATCATTTATAATGCTCTGATGTTACAGACAGTGGCCTAGGAGAAATGCTAAGCAAGCAAGAAGTAATACAATTCACAGCCAAGACCATGATTTCAAGTTTCAACCTGCACGATAAAACTGCTAAATTCTTATTAAGGCTTAAGAAACAATAATACATATCTAGTAATTATTCTGAACTCCAAACAATCATGGAAATTGAACATCCAACTCAGAGTCGTAAGATGTTTGTCATGAAATAAGAACTAGGTCTCCACGTAGAGTGTATACAGCTAAGCTATGTCCTGTTTTTACATATGCATCTCTGATGTACACTTCAACTAAAAATAAATCTATTGTAAACCAACTATCCCCCGGGGTAGAAGAGGTGCTACCAATATCTCTAGTCTGTCGGGACTAAAAACTTGTGATGTGAAATGCATCCTCAGACTTTCCTTGGTATGATTTGACCAGTGAGCCTTATAATCTGGTATCACGGGAATCGGTTGACAGTGATGGATGTAAGGTATCTAATACAAGTGATACCATTGAATTTTCCTTCCTTGCCCAGGTATGTTCAGGGTTTACTCTGTTCATACTAGAATTCCCACAGTGTGTTCTCTGTGAGTAAGAAGAAGTCCTCGTCTTATTTGATGTATTCGTAAATCGGTCTACTGATTACGTCTATGAAGCGGGAAAGCAATGGTCAGAGATTAGAAAGCTCGAATACTTGATCAACGTGTTGGTATATAGACCGGCAGAACCATGCATAAAAACTAGCAAGGCGTGTAAGAAGCACAAAGCGGTAAGCTCACCTTGTGGTTGTAAAACTACCAGCGTGAAATAAGGCTAATACAACAGATGTTCACGTAAAACACTTAGACTTAAGCAGATCAACTATATAAAGTTCAGAAAACAGCATGCAATGTAATAACAAATGCATTGAGAACTAGTTCTTACATGTTGAAGGCCAAGAACATATTGACACGCGAGGACTTAAACCTGCTGTTCTCAGTCTTTAACCAACCATACGACTATATTACCCCACACATGGACTTTCATAAAGTTTCGAAAGCCAGATATAATTCCTGAAATCAGTGATGTTTGGGTAGCTTAATTATAACACTCGTGGTAATATAGACAATTTTGTCTACTGCCATTAGGTACTTCTTCTTTTAAAGCCCAAAGCGGTGGTGATTCGTCTAATAAGCTCACTCTGTGGATGTAAAATAAAGCTGGCACGGCAGGTCTTCACGTAAAGTATTTCGACTTTTGAAGACCAGCTATATAAAGTTTAGAGAACAGCAATGTACTTACAAGAACTAATCCTTTAGAAGCTATAAACAATATAACTACTTATTACACATCCTCTATATCTATCTTCATTTATTGGTTATGTCTGCCTGCAGCGCAGCAAGACTGAATGAATGCAGATGTTGAAGGCCAAGAACATATTGACACGCGAGGACTTAAAACTGCTGTTTCCAGTCTTTAACCAACCATACGACTACATTACCTCTCATATTGATTTTTTAAGTTCAGAGATCATTCCAAGAATCAGTGATGTTTGGCAATATAGGAAATTTTGTCGACTTTCATATTCATCGAACAAAGCTCTGTCTAGATTCATATTACCCTAGTTAGAGTCCTTACTTTATTAGTAATTTTTTAGATGAATATTTAGAAAGAGAGGGGTGGACGATACCTTTTATACAAAGTTAACAACTATAATAGTTGAAGACTTAGCTCATACTGCTGCTATGTAGCTATCACCTCAGAAATTTTGTAAAAAATTAGATTTAGGTCATATCACCTTTCAAGTAGTTTAATTTAAAGCAACTTTTCCTAGTTCTAAATACAATAATGTCTTTTTGTAACAAATTAAATACTTGTAAATTCATTCGCAATATATATGAACTCTATAGCAATTACTTTTAATTTATATAATTTTAGTAAAATCACCTTGTGGAATGACTTTAAATTACAACACAAATGAATAAAGACACTTGATAATTTTCACAATTTAATATTAATTATGATCTTCATATTCATATTTTTGATTGCAACGTAAAAAAAAAAAAACTTTCTCTTAATTACACACAGACAAATTTTCAAAAAACTACAAACTGTAAAACAAATTCAAATCGTCACATTCATAAACACATTAACAATTTCTAAAATAACGCCTAAAAAATAATAATTTGACCTTAATAACATTTTCAAAGAATATTATGTACATGATAGAATATTTGTAACAAAACTAAATACTACATACAAGTATTATAATTACGCTTCAAGTAGAAACAAAACAAGTAGTTGTCATGACACTTGTTTTCTAAACTGACTTGTTGTTTGGAAAAAAAATATCTAGTTGAAATTCAAATACATATTACTCTGAGTATACAAATATATGGTCTGAGAATAATTACAACACAAAACTAAATTAAATGTAGGAGGTGGTAATTTGACAAAGAGACAATTGAGTACTAAAGAAAAAATTTTTCTATAGAAATATTTGAAAAATGTACTTTCACTAGACGCCCAAACATGAAATTTAAATATTTTGAATGATTATTAAAATCATCACCAAAATATTTCCATTAACTGACTTACCTTTATGCTGGTTTATTTTAAATCGCAAGAATCTGTAAAAGACACACAAGAAAAAGACATATTAATAAAACTAGCTTGTTGTTGTATTAAAAATAAAATTTGTTTTGTTTTGTTTACAGAAAACAAAAGATTTAAGCTACAAACTTGAAATTAATGGCTCGGCTTAAGAATAGACCTCTTTGTATAAATAAAAGCCAATTTATTTACTTTAAGGAATCTTCTTAAAAACCATCCATCCATATATATTGATTTATGGTTTGTCAATTGTTAGTGGTTGTTAAAATGAACACAAAAATGAGGAAAATCTTTAAGAAAAACTTTCCTAAAGCAATTAAATCACCGCCATGTGTACGAAAGGTTTATATTTATTATAAACCACAGTCAAAGCGGGAGCGCAAAAACAGAGAAAAATTCCACAACTGTACAGGAGGATATTGGGTATGTTTCCATACCAACAACTTCTTTGCGGTATTTATGTCTTTAAATACTTTAATGTTTTTATTGTATGAACGTTCGCAGAAGTATCCCAGATGTCCAGTTGGCTGCAAGATATGTTTAAAGATGAAAATTGGAATTTAATTGTCATTGCCGTTTTTTGACACTGAGCTTTAGAAAACCCCGTGTCCTAGGCAAAAGCGGGGCCTTTGACGGAAAATTGAATGGAAATGATGAAAGTGCTATCACGATGTTATCAAGTGCTATCAAGATGTTATATTTTTGGCGATAGAGAAACGCAATAAGTCATCCAAACCGCCTAACAGTGATGCAAATTAATTAAACAGATGACCTAATGATTTTTATAGAGAAAGAAGTTGTTAATGTGTTTCTATTAGAGATGCCAAACGGGAATTCCCGATTCCCGAAAATCCCGGGATTTTCGGGATTTGAAAGTACCGAAAACCGGGATTTTAAAAAATGAAATCCCGGGGAATTTCGGGATTTTAAAATCCCGAATTTTTAAGTGTTTTTCCGCTATTTTATACATTATAAAGTGTTAAATAATAAAATTTTAAAAGTTTTTGGACTTAAGATGACTCTACTTACTTACAAGCTGAAATATCAAAAATAAAAAAGACAATAAATAGGCATAGATACTATCGGATATATACAAATAACAAGTAAGAAATTATAGGCTGACGAGGCCGACCATATAACCCCCTACACCAGTTATGAGAGTAAAATGTGATTTAGTTTTCATAATAAATCTTTTAAGTTGATTTATACCTCGTCACCGATATATTTTAGCCATTTATTGTTAAAACACTATCTTTCTGAAATATGCTTGTGGGATGCCTTCATATAAGTCGATCCTCATAAAATTTGAAGGACGAATTTACATAAAATGTGTTTATGCTGAATTTCATTGCGGCACTTCTCTTTTTAAGCGAATTGTTAAAGCTGTGCTTTGTATGGGGGCTAGGATCAAAAGAAGCCCGATCATTTCAAAATTCATCAGGGTATTTAAGGCCAGTATAAAACAAAAGCACTACTCCGGAGAAACCCAATATACCATCGCCACTAAGCTGGTGTAGGGTATAAAAAGGGCAATAAATAGGCATTGATACTATTGGATATTTAATGGGTGTATTAGAATCTATAATGGAAGTCAACCTGTCAATAAGATGGGGAGATGATAATTCCCTTATTTGGGTTAGAGAACACGGGATATAACTAATAATATTGCCTTGGCAGAAGCTGGAATTACTATAACTATAATTGATAGAAACCAGTTCTATAGTATTTCCCTACTGACCATTAAAAACCATATATCCGATGTTCAGATCAAGACGGATGGTCTCATGAGTACATATGTGCAGTAAGGTGCACTATGTAGCCTCGTATGGATCCTCATTACACATGGGTATTATTTTATATTTATAACATATAAGAAGCTTTTGCTCAGAAGTAAGTTTTTATCCTACTATTTAGTACCTGGGATGGAAAGATTTTTATTCTAAGTACTTTGAATTAATTTGTTTTTCTTTTCACAAAATGCTTATTGGAAAGTAAGCACCTACTAAGTGTATTCATATTGCAATATGAAATAGAAAAGGTTATTTTTGTCGATAAATTATTAAGATCTTTTGAATTTTTTTTATATTTTTCGGGATTTAAAAAAAATCCCGGATTTATTTAAAAATCCCGAATCCCGGGATTTTTAAAAATCAGTCCCGATTGGCATCCCTAGTTTCTATGTATAGGCATTCGATCATGATAATTTGTGTTTCCCTCCCCAACAAAGGAAAGCAATATGACCAGAGAATTAATATTATGCCTCAATTAACATATTTCATTGGACGGCGTCTTTTACATTTTTTGAAAACTTTTCACGAAACAAATATGAGTTCAATATGAGCAAAGAGTTCAAATTCTCTAGAATCATTGTAGCTATTTCATGTCACATCATTAGATAGATTGAAGAACCTGTGAGAACTAAATAGCTCAGTGGTATTTCTAACTCAAACTCTCCATCCATATCTCCATATTTAACACTTAAATTTGTCTTCGTAGGTAATGTCCTCTTCCATGATATGATCAACTGGGTTATAGCGGTAGAAGTGGTAGTTGTGTTTACAGTAGAGGTATTTAAAATGAAATAATAGCTCGAAGCAATGCACAAAATTCAAATTGTTTGCGCTAATATTTTAGTACACATGATATTTGTACCCTACAATAGGGTTTTATTAAAGTATAATTTCAATTTTATTTTAATTTCATTACTCATAGATTATAAAATGATTTTCAAAATATTGTCAATTTATAAAAATTTATCAATTTGACCCTTTACTGCCTTAAAAATTGGAATTAAAACTTTAATTTGACATCTCAACTTAATACACTTCATTACAGCAATTGATGACGCAATTTATCGTCAGAATTTCGATAATTTTATGCAACACTTTCGTTTTGAGACAACTCCCGAATTATGCAACTATCCAGTAGTAAAAACTAACGAGCAATTCCAGAATGCAGAATTGTGTTAGTTACAATGATCTTAAAAGTAAACAATAATAGGTTGAGGTTAAAGATAAAGAATAGTTTAAATATAACGGTCAGATCATAGCAAAAGTAATTAGAACTTCATAATGTTTATGGTACCTTAGTATCTAGCTTAACAACAGGTTAAAGTAGCTTTGACGAGGTAATCCAAATTTTTGAATAAACCAAAAAGACTAGGTCAACATCATTTATTACGCCAATTCCAGCTGTGATCAACTGCGAAAACAGCAAAACCCCAGGTTCGTTTATTAGTAACTATCCAACAATAAAATCTCCTCTGAAGGACGTCAATTAAGAGAAATCAGATAGTTTTTACATGTCAAGAAGCAAATAGAAACCTCTCACTTCATTTGCAATGATCAGTACTATTTTTCTTTGGAAGCAGTCGCATTCGACACCCTAACAACCCATGATTACCTCAGCTCAACAATTTATAAACGAAGAGGAATTTAAGCATGATTAGATCAGATAAGTTCAGAAGTTAGAACCGACAAATATGGACTAAAGAGCTCAACCATAAGTGGCTTTTAATGGAGCATAAAGACAAGGCCTCTTCTCTATCGGCTTTTAATGGAGAATAGAGACAAAGCCATTTCTACAGAACTTTTTTGTCACGAAAACATCACAGGCGTGTTAACTATGTGAAGTTGTAAATGCTATCAAATTTCTAGTTGCTATCAGGACATGGATTACTTGCAAAACAATTAGTCGGCCAGTAACACAGGCCGACAAAAGTTTAAAAAAGTTATACTTTTCTAAAGGTTGAGCCGCGCTGAATTCGATTTTCTCCATCACATCTGGGATTTGAGATATTGTGTCCTGAAATTTGTCACTTTTAGACACGTTATAGCGGCGCCAAGACAACATCTGAAAGTCCGTTATGTCTGTCTTGTTTGTAACGAAAAAAATATTCAAAATCGGTTCAAAATCACTTTCTGATTCGATTTAACGATGTCTGTCTATCCATCAACTTCAACGGATGATATCTCAGCAACTAGAGCAGATTATTAAACAAAATTTAAAAAAAATCAATAGATGAGTTTTTCGTAAAATTTACACCAAATTTACGAAAAAAGTACTCTCCCAGAGGTAAGGTACAAAATTGGCCGTGCGAATTCAGACGAAAGTAGAGCATGTAGAGAGGACAGTGAAACTCTGGAGTACTTTCTTTGCCACTGTCAAGCATTAGAGGAAGTTAGATCCAAGTATCTTGGAAGTGATGTTATTCCGGAAATAACTTTCCTGACTAACACTGATTGGAAAATCCGTAGGAAATACGTCCAGGAAACTGAGTTTCTGAACATTGGAAAATAATATACTCAGTGAACAATTTTTTTTTTTTCATGAAAAGGAGCGCACAACAGGCCCGATAGTGACTTAGGTGTATTTTTTCGGAAAATTCGTTACATCATGATATCTCGAAGAACAAGGAAGATATGTCAGATGTAAAGCCTTTAATTCAAAGCTGAAACTTTGATCTCTGGACTGAAAGTATGCCGGCCAGTGTAATAAACAATACTGAACTTCTGTAATCATATTTGTTAGAGAGAAATATGTTAAAGATTATGAAATACAGCGTTAACGACTTTCAAATAATCTTTGAATTATATCTACTCTTTATTATATCAGTTAATATCTTATAGGCCTCCGGAGGTATGTCAGCATCATACAGTTGCAAACTTCCATAGAGGTATTTCGGAAAATAACTTCGAGTTTACGAGATATTGGATTGACAATGTCATTTCCAATTTATAGCCAGACCAAAGCTGGGCCTTTATAACTAATTTCGACCTTTATTTTTCCAATGATTAACAAGACTAATCTAGTAGATCAGGAAGTAGATAAATCAGTAAAATAAATCAACTTTGATGTAGTGTAACTTTTTAGTCGATTTAAGTCGACTCCTGTTTTTTTTTTTTGGCTTGATAAAAGAGGAGATTTTTAAACTTTTAACTTTAGTAGTTTTTGTTTTAATTTTTTGTATTTTTTTAACATTGTCATTGTTGTTGTTGTTGAATTTTCTTTGCTGTTA